GCTTTCATAGTTCGCGCCGTGCGGTCGTCGGGCCGACGGTGCCGACGGCGCCGACCGCACCGACAGTGCGAAGAGCGTCAATACGCGCTCTGGCGCATGACGCGTACGTTGGGCGCAGATCGCGCGCTCCGATCGATAATCCTGGTTTTGGTGTATTTCTTGTCTTTTTCGATGTTTTTTTTGCGCCGTGTTGCTTTATTCGTGTGTTTCTGCTCATACTTATTCTTTTATGTCTCGTTTCATACTTTTCAGTTGTTCCGCGACGAGCGACTTCGTAACCCCGTCGTACCCCGGGTAAATTGGCATCCCGTGTGAGTTATTCATTATAGCAATTTTGTTTATTCGAGTGGACTCTATAATTTTAGAAGTTGCTTTTTCTTCGATACGATTTCCTGCTGGTGTGCGAAAGGCCGCCGGATCTTGGTAAATTTAATTATTCGCACACCAGCAGGAAATCGTATCGAAGAGAAAGCAACTACTGGAAACATACAGTTCACTCGAATAAACTCACCGGGTCTTGAAGCCACGTTCACACGGGGTTGTACGACGTCGCTCGTCCGCGGAACAACTGAAAAGTATTCATCAAGACATAAAAGAATAAGTATGAACAGAAAACACACGAATAAAAGGAAGACTGCGCAAAAAAACATCGAAAAAGACAAGAAATACACCAAAACCAAGATTATCGATCGGAGCGCGCCATCTGCGCCCAACGTACGCGTCATGCGCCAGAGCGCGTATTGACGCTCTTCACACTGTCGGTGCGGTCGGCGCCGTCGGCACCGACCGCACCGACCGCACCGGCGCGAACTATGAAAGCAGCCTAAAGCCTCTGTGTGCAGCTACTTTCTGCCGGTGTCTCTTACAGTGGGCTTTCATTTGAAACAACCTCGTAACTCTTTCAGAGAATCGTTCCGCAAATTTGGAGGTGGATTTGAGATCAGCGTCCGAAAACACATCTGTGAGTATAGGTTTCATTACGGATGGCCACTTCGACCTGGTATCCTTCCCTTGTTGAGATAAACTATTTCAAAAATTCGAAACTTTCTTTTTAGCTTAATACTTGGAATGCTAATAGTGACACACAATAATGGCGGATACGAAGCAAAATTTAGAAGAAAAATATCTTCTGAAACAATCTTCAGCAGGAGTAGTGGAAGTATGCTGTCGCGCCGGTAATCAGAACTTTGAATTTGATGGTGGCAATTGTCACCGCCCGCGCCGAAGGGTTTAATCAACATTATTTACCATTAGAGGGCGGAAGTGGTGTAGTGGCAAGTGGCACGCTTACCACGCGAGCGGTCCGGGGATCAAATCCTGGGTCGTGAGTCGCCCGGGCCAACCAAGCCTTCCATCCCTCCGGGGTCGGTTAATTGGTACCAGACTTGTCTGGGAGGATAAAAACACTGACTTGTACATCGGCTGGCCCCCGCAAGTCATTGTATAGGCCACATCGCATTCAAACGCCACTACGAATGTACAAATGGAAGTAGAATGCGTGCCGCATCCCAAAAAGGGATTGATCAACGGCAAATGCTTTATCCTTTATCCTTTTATTACCATTAGAAATGTCGTACGGTGCCTACGTGAATGTAGTCGTAAAAATTAAGAGATCGGCACAACGTGGTCTTACTGTAAGGAAAACAGATGTGTAATGGTCGGAAGACGTATATGACATAAACTATGCATGCAAAAAGTGGTAGATCGGACGAATTGTCATCATTCCACTCTGAACTTGATCAAATCGAATACGTTTCAAAATATCTACAAATCTTATAAAATAGACCAGACTGGTATGAAATACGTTTTACTATTCATTGCCAGATGATATACAATATTCTGAGGTAAAGCAAAGGCATAGCAAAAAAAACATATCACATTGTGGAGGAATCCATTGCTGAACCAACCAGCCGGTACATACCAGAGGTTCCCACTTCCACACGTCCATCCTTGATAAGTTTGTTCAGATGAAGTTTGACGTTATTAAGAGCCGCCAGGCGTACAGATAAAGGAGCATCCTAAACATATGGAGTAAAGTAGCAGTAAGTACCGTAGTTTGCATGACATTCTCATGTGGTACTGAACCAGCCTATCCTACCATTACGGTCAACGACATTACCATTGGAAGCTGTTCCATAGAGGCTTAGAAACTTAGAAACTAGAGATAGAAAATCTTCTTGATTCAAATTAGGTAAAATACAGAGATACAATATAACTTTTCACTTAGGAAGTTGACAGGACCACGATTTTGTTACACATTATCATTTCAACGATGATAAACGCTGTAGCAAATACCGCCTGTATCCAGCGGCCAAGGAACATTACAATACAATTGACAACGCCCCACAGTCTAACAATACTAGGGTACCCGACAGGAGGCCCGTCGCGCGGCAAGAAGGCAGAGTCAGCGGACGAGTCGCAGCGCGTGATGTGCGATGTAGGACGTACAATGGTACATTCTATTTAACTTGACGCGAAATCACTACAGTACGCGCTGCGACTCGTCCGCTGACTCTGCCTTCTTGCCGCGCGACTGGACCTACTGTCGGGCACCGATAATAGTAGTTTTGACAGTGCGTTCCACAAGCATAAGGTCACCCTTGAACTTTGCATTTCCGCAATAAACAGTGGTTCGGAATTTTTTCTAGAATCACCAGCTGATTCCTCTGCATGAATAACACCTCCCGCATCGCAAATTTAGCCGGAGCAGCTTTTCTTCTAACCTTTTTGTAATTAATTTTTGGATTGCAATGTTTCGTAATAATAAGGATAAAGGATAAGGATAAAGCATTTGCCGTTGATCAATCCCTTTTTGGGATGCGGCACGCATTCTACTTCCATTTGTACATTCGTAGTGGCGTTTGAATGCGATGTGGCCTATACAATGACTTGCGGGGCCAGCCGATGTACAAGTCAGTGTTTTTATCCTCCCAGACAAGTCTGGTACCAATTAACCGACCCCGGAGGGATGGAAGGCTTGGTTGGCCCGGGCGACTCACGACCCAGGATTTGATCCCCGGACCGCTCGCGTGGTAAGCGTGCCACTTGCCACTACACCACTTCCGCCCTCAATTATAAGGTACCCCTTGGAAAATAATAATTACATTAT